CCCCAAAACCCCAAAACCCCAAAACCCCAAAACCCCTTCATCCAAATTGAATCAAATGCTGGTAAAATGATGAAGATCCCAAAATAAATAGTTCTGTAAAATTCTTTACCCTCATGGAACTCAGATTTAATAATTGTCATAGTCAACTAGAATTCTACGCCCCTCATCTAATTCTAATTCTTCTTTTTGCAAGAATGATCTTAAATACTCCTAAAATAGTGTTGCTGCAGGCCCCTTTTCCTCTCCAAGAATGTGGCCATCCCATTCTAACAGAGGAACGCATTCTTCTCCTCCTAAAAACATTGCTTCTACTCCTTAATCTTTGCATTCCTGAACTAGTATCTCTCTTCTTACAATTTTCTTAATGTAATTTTCGTTTCCATCGAAATATCTATCGCTATTTGGAATAACTTCTTTTTCTAAGAAATCCATAATCTTTATTGCTGTGGTCCCTGATAAAATACGCTCAAATGGAGGTATAATGAAGTCCCCATTCTTAAGTAGCACAGCTACAGTTGCCATACTACCTTCAAGTAAGTATCCCTCTTTATCTTGCTCTATCGCAATATAGCCCCCTCTTGATCTTGACTCAGAAGCCATGTATGTTCTGACCAAATAATTGTTTGATTTGACGTTGAGATCAAGTGACTAATAATATGATTAAGTTATTGACATTTCTGGAATGACTTGAGGTCTTGGCTCAGCCTCTTGATACAAAAGCATATAAATAGCCGTGTTTTGCTTCTGATATTTGTTGAGTTAGTAGTAAAATTACATTGAGTAAAATGGTAAAGTCTCCTGAGCCTCCAGTCAAAAGAATTTAAAGCTTTTTGGTACCCTTGAGATGTCCATATAGCTATTTGGCAGTGTGAAGCAGCTGTTTAATGATATTTATGATATCATCTTGAGTGAATTTACCTACCAAGTTTATCTTTTTACCCTCATCAAGTAGTCTTTGTACTTTTTATTTAACCTTGAATGAATAGGATTGAAATAGAATATACCTGAAAAATTTAGTTATCATTGACTAAAAATTCTTCCTTAAGCGAATAACCTCTTCCAATTGACTTATCATCTATCGGAACCATCATGCAATCATGATCTATTTAAAATTTTAAAATTTCAATATTCTTACTTGTTGTGATATAATTAAGCTCAGATGAGTAGAAGGCAAGGAACTCAAGATCTTATCTTTTGTAAAAGGAACTGTTTTCCATTAATTTAAATTGAAGGTTAAAATTATACTAAAATTCCCTCAATTTTTGATAGAAGGGGTTTTGGGGTTTTGGGGTTTTGGGG